GACACCTGCAGAGCTGCATCTGCTGTCTGAGGGTCTGTCTGGGTTGAGGCCTCAGACACAGTCGATGCAGCACCTCCAGCAGCCACTGGGGAACGTGCTCTGCAGCGTGTCATCACCATGCCCCGGGGAAGGGCACACCACTGTGCAAAATGGAGAGGTGCCTTCTTTGCCTTCTGGTGCCCTTCTGCACAAACTGCTGCATCAGTTCACTGCCTCTGTTGGCTGTGCTCTGGGAGCTGTGCTCCAGGCCTGGCTCTTATATAGGCCTCTGCCTAGCAGTGACTCACAAGGGTGCTTGACCCACCCAATCAGGAGCCACCTGAAACAAAAGCCCCAGCTCCCTCTGACCAGGGCAGCCCAGAGAGCTCATTAGCAGCAGCCCCACCTAGCTAGAACTTCCCAGGAGAAGTTAAGTCAAGGCCCCCTGCAGGAGTCCTTGTCATCACCCTGTCAGTTCCATTTTCAGAAAATATACATAGTCCTCTTGTTTTCCATAAAAGCACATGAGACATTACACAGACAGCAATGAAAAATGGTCATAGCTTTTGAGGTGGTAAATCACACAATCCTATATGCCTAATTACAGAATTCTATGCAGACTGATGAATTTGCATATAGAGGAAGATGAGATTGATCTTCACTTAACTTTAGTAGTCTAACTGTTAAGGAGTCTACCCTAAACTAATTATCCATATCCCCAGTCATTTGCAACTTAAAGGACTGTTTATACTCATATAAGTAAAGGCTCACAATAGACAAAAAGCCTATCTACCCAAAAATCTCAGCCCTACTGTTCAAGTATACCGAAGTCAGTGTTTGCTCAGTAAATCTGATGCTGTAAAGAAGTGTCATAGCTCTATGTGTACAACGAAGTTCATCTACAAATGTTTTACAAATAACTTTGATACCTACATACGTGCTAGCCTCATAAGAGCTCCTGTGAAGTAGCTCCAACCAAACTTTTGGACATTTGGACCTTCATGTTACATTTCAATGAAATTCTCAATCAGAAAAAAAAAAAAAAGATATATGAAGGAAAGAAGTGCAAATGGATTTTAAATACACCACAGCACCTGGTGAAATTTCACTTAAACTGATGGGCTAATCAAAACCCAAACTGGGTGAAACTTTAAATTTTAAGATTTTGAGAAGTTGTTGCTTGTGCTGGACTAGATCGGATAAAGGCTAAACCAAATCAGAGTTATAAACTTCACAATGTAAAAACGGATATTAACAATTTCTTTAATCCCAGTATGAAACTTCTGAGATTTGGTATTCCCAGAAAAACAAGTTTTCTAACAGCAGTTCAAGGTTATCAAACAGCAAAACGTAAATACACAAACTAAAAATGCAAGAAACCAGTGGCAATTAATTTAATGACTCTTCTCTTTTCTAACCCTAGAAAACTAAGGGGGAATCAATTCACCCAGCAATAGGTGTATAGGCCAGGGAGCTGACTTTTAACGGTACCATTACAGTATGCTGGCTGGAGATGGGAGAAATAAAAGATATGGGACAACTCCTGCAGGTAGATCTTGAAATGGAGGAAGGAACAACATGTTTTATACCTGCACATTTAAAATTGTTCCAAATTAGTTACAGATAAAATAGGACGAAGTGGAGTAAATTCGTATTAAGGTGAAGCATGACATTATTCAGGCTTCACCTTTCATAAACAAATATTTAGCAAACTGTAACACTTATTTAAAATTACTCCTCTTTCCTAATACAAAAACACAGACAAAATATTTCTTCAGAAAACATAATAATCACAGTAAAACAAATCTTTTTTATCACATAGCTAGGTAAACAGTGATTTTTCAAGATACATTTCAGAGTAAAAATTCTTCAGCTTTTAGTTATGTATTTGATTATTCTTTCAATTAACATAATTTCACTTAATCTGATTTCATAATTTCTTATTTTTCCTGTTTGTAACTTTAGAAATAGATAGAGCTATTGGCATAGACAATCTTAGTGACTGGAAAACACTCAGTAATTTTTGCATCAAGCTCATAACTTTCATTTGGATTTTGGAAAGATATGCATCCTTGATGTAAACCTCCAAGTGATGTTTAAACCCATATAAATATATATATA